TTGATTTTAATCAAACATATTTTCCCATGATAAATGGCATTAAGTTCCGCTACATCATTGACAGAATAATAAATTAGATATGCAACTAATATTAAATTCAAAAGTCCCCGAAGGATTTTAAGTTCTCAAAATGAGGAAAAGTGAAAATCGCACATTAATATTGGTCTTTATAGGACCTGAAATAGTTAATATTTATTTTGAGAAATCCCTGATGGATTTATAATTCCCGAAATGAGAATTTAAGTGTCATTATATTTACTCTTTAAAGGGTTGCGAATGGAGTTAATATCCTCATTGAAGGAATAATATGTACCATTGTGTGCTCGATAAAGGGTTGATAATGAACTTATTTATTATTTATTATCTAAGTCAATATTGATGGTGGAAAACATCAATGAAATATATAAAGGGTTTGATGATGTCAGCCCATATCTAAAGACGGAAATTTTGAAACAAAAGCTTGAAAAATCTAAGTATTATCTTGACTTGAAGATCAAGTTTTTCCTTGAAGAATTTTATACACCAGTTAGCCTATATATGATTTTGATCGGATACTTAGACAAACAAATATATAATGGTTACTTGGGTACTGGCTATTACTTTTGTGTCTCCATAATGCCAAGTTCCGAAACTGGTTGTACTATATTTATCCCCATTGTCCCATAAAGGGTCAATAAATATTGTGTTGCACAAATGATAAAAGGATATATAATGAAATCTTTTTGACTAGATATTATGATACCAATATTATACAACGTGAACTCTAGAAGAGTCATGAGATTATTATAGAGTATATTTATTCAATTGACAGTTGTATATATTTATTTACAAAATTCCTCTATACAGTTTGGAAATTTAATGTATGGGAATTAAAGATTGTTATCTTGAGTGGGAGTATCATTTTACATGAATCAATCCTGAAGATTGGGTCTTAGATGACTAACGGTTGTACTCTTTTCCTTAGTTAAGTTTTTCCGCACGGGTTTTTCTTTAAATCTAAGGTTGTTAATGAGGCAGCTAATCTAAAACAAGAATAAACATACATCATGCACTCTTTTCCTCAACTAATTTTTCCCACTGGGTTTTCTAGTGAGGTTTTTAACGAGGCATGAGTATGATATAGTAACATAAATGGGAAAAAGTTGCAAAATAATTGCTTAAGTAGACAAATCCCAAAATCCTGAAGATTACGACGATTATGGCTTGAAGGCTTACGATTGTACTCTTTTTCCCTTTAACTAAGTTTTTCCCACAGAGTTTTCTTAAGTTAAGGTTTTTAATGAGACAATTAGTACACTATATGTTCTTACAAATATCATGTACTCTTTTCTTCAACTGAGTTTTTCCCACGTGGTTTTCCTAGTGAAGTTTTTAACGAGGCATGATTATGGCAAAATAATGTCCAAGGGAGAGTGTTGTAAAATCTAATTATGGACATTATTCTAGCATTAATGATATGATTTGTAACGGCTTGATACTTATGGTATGATTCTATATTAGCTGTTATATATATTGATGTAATGCTGTACAGAGAAGCGAATGTAATGAGAATCTTTTTTCTCTGTTCTTTCTTTATTATCTTCTTCTTGTTCTTATTGTTTCCTGCAAACAAACAGACTGGTTAGAAAAACATGAGGAGCATATCACTCATTCGAATCGTAGACATGACTTTGTCGTCCAAATGAATATTACCGATGAACCGCAAGCGCATTATTAATCTAATATTTTCTTATCGCAAACGCATTATTAATATCTAATATTTTCTTATCGCAAACGCATTATTAATCTCTAATATTTTCTTATTTATATATTCTTAATTATTCCCTAATGATTACTTAATCATTATAACAAATTTAATAATTTCAATTCTTAATTAATCATTGATAATCAATTTTATCAAACTATATTATTTAAATAATTCTAAATACGTACGTACGACCATTTATAATACCTACCATTTTGCTTTTTTTTTTTTTTTTTTTTTTCATTGAAATTATGAGAGACGGACTCAAGGAGACCATTTCTACTTAGTCCACAAAAACCATGCTGGTCTATATTGGTATCCACTATTTTTTTCCTGCATGATTCTGTAGAGGGAACACTAACACTATACTCAGCAAATAGTTGAGGGACTTAAATTATGGTATCCCCTTTGTAATATTATCTATAAATTAGTATGATTATATGAATTTATGATTTAAATGTTGGAGAAGAATAAATTATAAACTTAAGTTGTAAGTGTAAAATAAATTTACACTATTGGCTATTTTATTGGTTTTACTAGTTTTAAATTAAATTAGTGTTGTTAGTTTTATTTCTTTTATGGACCATGTGAGTGCAAAATTAGTTGCCAGCATGCATTGTATAATTAAGTCTACGGTGAAGCATTCAAAGAACAAAAATGAGTGGTTGTGGCTTATTCGAACAGTGGAAGGCTAAGGAAGAGGCTACGATTGAGGATCAAACAAAAGGCTCATGAAGTACTATAAAAGCACACTGCTCGAATGAAGACATTGCCAATTTGATTATTACACATTGCGAGAGCTATCCTGAATTTACAAAGCTATTTATGTTTTAATGTAATTTATGATTTAATTCTTAAGAGTATTTAAACTGTACTACATGATCAGTACGTGGTACTGCTAAAGCAACTTGTGAAGATTGTTCGGGTATTCGTGTGTCAGTCCTGGATAGGTGCTAGAAAGAGTGGTAGTGGTAAAGGTTGGAGACCGTCTTCATTTACCTCTTGTAATACTCCTTTTGGTGAACATCTATAGTGGATTGGGCAGACATGGGTTGCCCCGCAGACGTAGGAGAAGGAGCTCCGAACTGCGTAACAATTTCTTTGTGTTTTTAATTTACTTTATGCTTTCTGCAGTTATTATTTATACTTGCGTAAATGAGTTTAATTAATTAACTAAATTGGTGCATAACTTAATTAACAAGTAAAAACACATAGCTTTTATTTTTCAAGTGTCACGGTGCAATTTCAATTGGTATCAGAGCCTGTAGACTTACTTTATTAGTCTATCGATCTGGCGATTCCGTGCCTCTTGAATTCATATCTTCAGCGGCTTTTATTATTTATCTGTTTATTGCTTATTTGTTTGATCTCACGGGGTGTTAAGTGTTACAGAATGGATCGATCTAAAGTCCTTCCCCAGTTGACCGGCGACAACTACGCTTATTGGAAGGCTCGCACTCGTACGCATCTAAAAGCTCAAGGTGAAGCCGTGTGGCGGTCCGTGGTGTCAGGTTGGACACATCCCACTAAACCCAGTTCCAGCACTGACGGAACAGAAGTAGCTAAGCCTGAGACTGAGTGGACTCAAACAGAGATAACCAACGCTGGAAACAATGATAAGGCTTTAGACACAATTTATTCTCTTATGCATGAAAGTCAGTTTTCAATTGTTGCAGGTATTCCTTCAGCTAAAGGTGCTTGGGAAGCTCTTGAGTCAACTTACGAAGGAACTACATCGGTAAAACAATCAAAGCTGCAACTGGTCCAGTCAGAATTCGAAGAGCTTCGAATGAATGAGGATGAGACAATCATCGACTTTCACACACGCGTACAAGATCTGGCGAATCGTGCAATGGTCCTTGGTGAACCATTCTCGCAAGCAAAGCTTGTTAAGAAAATTCTGAGATCTTTACCTCCCAGGTTTAGAATGAAAGTCACAGCTATCCAAGAACATGATGGCTGGGAGAATAAAATGGTTACACAGTTAATGGGAAATCTCAAAACCTATGAAATGGAAATTTTAACTGATCACACGAAAACGAAAAAACAAAAAAAAAAATGTAGCTTTTGCCGCTGAAGAAAATAATGTTGTATCCGATTCAGACGAAACTAGTGATGATACGGTTGTGTTTTTTACTAAACAGTTTTCCAAAATTCTGAAACAGGTATCCAAAAATACACGCAACAGAAATTCACAAAGAGGAGCAACATCGTCCAAAGCTGGCCCTAGGACAGGTTCGTCAAACTTCAAACAGTCTGTCTCATGTCCAGGACAGTCCAAAGAAAAATCTAACAATAAAGGAATCAAGTGTTACGAATGTGAAGGCTTTGAACATGTACAAGCAGAGTGTGCCACCTACCTCAGACGTAAAAAGGCTTTGCAGGTTACGCGGTCATACCAGACCTGAATGCTACTATTTCTACAAGGATCAAAGAATCGAGAAGTTCAGGCACAAGAACATACAACCTTTCACAAAACAAATTTGGGTTAAAAAGACTGATTATATATCGTGTGTTTCGTTTCACTCTAAAAGTGCAGGAAGAGAAGAGAACCTTTGGTGACGGTGTCAAAGGTCAGGTGACTGGCATAGGCAATCTTACTGTCTAATTTCCTCGCGCAGGTAAATTTTTTTTTTCTTTCATTTTATTTTACAGTTATTTTTTTTTCTACGTGAATGTTAATGCAGGGATAACAGGGTGGTTCGGCCATTGTTCACATCCTCAGATGTTCGTATTTTTTTTATATACTCCCATCTTATTTTTTTTGTGTTTTACATATAGAAGACTAATTCAAGACAAACACATATTCTCTCTCCTACTCCTACTCAATAGCCTACATTATCACCTAAGCCTTCTACCCATCCTATCACTACACGGCTTTTTAGAAGACATCACCTCACAATTAATTTTTTTTTTTGTCTCTTCCCTTGCCTCCACTACGCCTAAGTCGAGATCATCATCTTCCCCATCTCTCGCAATCCATCCGTTTCCACCATTGTTGCTTCTTGAAACCTTCTCAAATGGAAAATCCTTTTCTCATCTTTGTTTCACCTTCTGAAAGGCACACGCTTTTCATCAAATCATAGATGCCGAATCTCCTTTTTCACCAGAAGCTACCGATCGAGTTCTTGCCACCATCAAGCAACATTCTTCCCTTCTAGAAGGACTCACGGACAAGGAAAAATGACAACTACTTGCACTTGCCCGCCACATCTCCGCCGCACCATTCCCCATTCCGACCGAGACATCAGCCGCGATGGTTATACCGGAGCCACTACCAGCGACAGTCTCTCTATCTCCATCTAACCCTGTGGGAAAGGAGAAACTGTATGTTTCAGGTACTGCAAAAAGGAGGAAGGTGTCTCATTTAGATGATATGGAAACTCAATATGACCGTAAGCATCAAAGGAGGGGTTCCACTCTTCCACCCAGACTCACTCAGTCACGAGCCCTCACTGAATCACCAACTGTACCAATTCCATCCGGCTCAAAATCAAAGGGGTCCCGCAAAACTTACGAAGGAAGAAGACTTTAACGAAGAACAATTCCTTAGTACTTTGAAGGCTACAAACACTTAGGAAGTTGGTACACACTCTAGCACTCCTCCTTTAATTGGTATTACCTCAATACCCGAGTTTGAGAATCCTAATGTGTTACATTTTTTTACTGGCAATCTTCTTTCGCAGTCTTCGTTTGCCATTTATATTTTTTTTCTCTGTTTTAAATGTGCCTAAGATGAATTTTTTCTTTTATTTTATGTGAGTGGCTTTAAAATTGAACATGAATTATTCATTCCCACTTCTACATGTGTGTATCTCTGAATTTATTCACACTTCAGGTACATTTGATCATTCTGGATTCATTCTCTTTACTTGTTCGTTTAATTTTTTATCTTTAAAGTGTTCGTTTAATTTGTCTAGGTTACTCTTTATGTTTGGTTATTAGCTGTTTCTGTATGTTCACTACATGTCCTTTTACATTTAATTTTCCTGGGTTACTCTTTAAAGTGCTCGTTTAATTTGCATGGATTAAAGTGTTCCTTTTTATTTGTTTAATTTGGTGCAATTTGATTAATGTGTTTATTCTCTTGTGTTACTTTATGTTTATGTGATTGTGGTTTGTTTGGTCCGGTCATGACCGTATTTGTGTTTATTCATGTGTTTCCCGCGCTATCTGTGTCTCAATTGTTTATTTGTGTGTTTTCCGTGATATCTGGTCTGAATCTGTGCCTAAATTTGGTTCATATGTGTTTGTGTCTGAATTTGATTTATTTTGAATCTTTGGCTTGCTTTACATGAATGTGCTTACTGTTTTATTTGCTAATCTGTTTGACTCGAATTGAGAATTGAAAATTCCTGATTTTTTGTTTATGTGTTTTGCTGAGTTGTTTGCAAATTACGTGTGCATGGCTCTAGGGCTCTCGTTTTTTTTAAAAATCTTCTGCAGGTTCAAATAAAGCAAATAACTTTTTATGGAGTCCCAATTACAGCTTCAAGCTAATGTGAAATTCTTGGCAAAGGAAACAATCACGATGTACATTTTGAGGGGGAGTTCTTCTTAATCTCTTATGAACAAATTCAATTTGTGTATTTATTGGGTATTTTCGGTTATATTGGATTTCTTGGGTATATATGGATTCTCTTACTGGACTCTATCAGTTTTTGGATTATCTCGTTGGGTTATCGTTTTATTTGGCTCATCATAATCTCTGGGGTCTCATTTTATAATCATCACCTTATTTGGATTCTTCTTGGATTATCTACTTGATGAGATTATTTATGAGGAATATTTTGGATGAGATTGCTTATAAAGGCTTTATCTTCTTGGTGTTTGATATTTGATTCTGATCAATATGATGTAAGATTGGATATTATACACGGGTGTACACCAGCAAGTAAATATGAGGGCTGATACTGGCACTACTACCAATGAAACTGATGATACTGACGACGACTTAGTTTCAGGCACCCCGTCTGCACGGTAAATCTAATCCACTATTATGATGTTCACCTTCCTTTGTCATTTATTTGGCAAAAGGGGGAGTTAGGAGTAAGGGGGAGTATTACGGGAAATCTTCTGCTTTGTTGGATGACTACGGTACGGTTTTATTTGGCAGTGTTTGTTGGTATTGCCTATTTTTGGAAGTGTTAATGCTAGTCAGTATGGTAATAATGGACTTATATTAGTTAGGGGGAGTAATAGTAGTGTTTGGTGCTCCTAACTAACTATATGGATATTTTTGGTATGGTATCTCACATGCACAAGTTAATCGTTGATATGGTATGCTATGATTTCAATGCTTCTGTGTGTGATTCAAGAATTGAAGATTTCCAATTAGGTTCTCTACTCACAAATGGTCCAAAACAATTTAATTTGTTAATTTTTTATTCTAAATTTCTATGTTATGTTAAGTACCTATACTAAGGGCTATAAATAAAATTTAAATTGATTCTTGCCCAAAGTATTTGATACTCAAGTTTTCCAAATAAAATGCCAAAGGAGAAGAATAAATTATAAACTTAAGTTGTAAGTGTAAAATAAATTTACACTATTGGCTATTTTATTGGTTTTACTAGTTTTAAATTAAATTAGTGTTGTTAGTTTTAATTCTTTTATGGACCATGTGAGTGCAAAATTAGTTGCCAGCATGCATTGTATAATTAAGTCTACGGTGAAGCATTCAAAGAACAAAAATGAGTGGTTGTGGCTTATTCGAACAGTGGAAGGCTAAGGAAGAGGCTACGATTGAGGATCAAACAAAAGGCTCATGAAGTACTATAAAAGCACACTGCTCGGATGAAGACATTGCCAATTTGATTATTACACATTGCGAGAGCTATCCTGAATTTACAAAGCTATTTATGTTTTAATGTGATTTATGATTTAATTCTTAAGAGTATTTAAACTGTACTACATGATCGGTACGTGGTACTGCTGAAGCAACTTGTGAAGATTGTTCGGGTATTCGTGTGTCAGTCCTGGATAGTTGTTAGAAAGAGTGGTAGTGGTAAAGGCTAGAGGCCGTCTTCATTTACCTCTTGTAATACTCCTTTTGGTGAACATCTATAGTGGATTGGGCAGATGTGGGTTGCCCCGCAGACGTAGGAGAAGGAGCTCCGAACTGCGTAACAATTTCTTTGTGTTTTTAATTTACTTTATGCTTTCTGCAGTTATTATTTATACTTGTGTAAACGAGTTTAATTAATTAACTAAATTGGTGCATAACTTAATTAACAAGTAAAAACAAATAGCTTTTATTTTTCAAGTGTCACGGTGCAATTTCATAAGTTTTTGTTGATGTTTGATATAGAAAATAGAGTAGACTAACAGATCGTAGATCAAAGTAATTATACATGCACATACCAATACAATAAAAATGACATCCTAAGACAAAGATTCAATTAAACTAAACTAAACACCATAACCATTCCTTCTCCATGAGAAAATAAAGGAATTGAACTTGGACTAGGTGGCAAATTGTGAGTTACACCCCTCCATTATCATGTTCGAGCCTGGAGTGAGGAATTTCCTTTTAAAGAATTCACTAAAGATAGAGCTTCAGAATCTGCCACAGATAGCTCCTAGCTTAGCGTCGTCGTTGTTCAATTCCCAACAGCCGCAGACGCATCGTTTTTGGTTAAGAAGGCCGGGAGGCTGGGAGCGGGAGGGAGCTTGTTGGCGGCGACGTGAAGAAGGACCATCTAGCGTAGCGTTCTGCGATTTTCGGCGCTTCAGCAGCTATGCCCTTTTCCTTCTTACTGTTTTTGTCCTTCTTCTGCCTCGGGTTCGAGCGAGACAGACTGGCAAAGCCTCCACCTCCGCCAATTTCATTCCGCTGGGGACTTGGCTTCTTCGGACACCACTTTCGGCACCACTTTCCGCCACTGCCACTCTTCAACGGGTCACTCGGATGAAGAACCCCAACGCCCGCCATTCAAAATTTTTGAATTTTTAGGAGAAAAACAAGCACCAGTACAGTTTACGTTTAGAAAAGAAACTCTGAAATCACAGCAAGTTTCTATGGGAAAAATATGAGAAAGCATATATGACAGAGATTTTATAGAAAGATTATGACCGGATGTAAACAGATTAGAGTGCTATGTTTCCTAATTTCACTATGAAAAGCAGTACGTACTATTTTTTCCTTGCCAAATAAGGAGTAGGATTTACTTATTTATTTATTTATTTCTAATGTAAAAAATTGTAAAAAACTTTAACTGAATTTAGGTTAATACCCTTGACTTTTATCAATATTTCTATATTTTTTTTTAGTATTATTAACTCTGGTATAAGACAAAACAATATCTCATTTATATATACTTTTTTTTTATCTGAGTTTTTCCCCAAAATGGTCCCTCGACTATCGCTCAATCTCAATTTTGCATTTCGACTTTCAATTGCACCCAATGTGGCCTCTTGACTTTTAAAAATTATCCCAAATTGGTCCTCCGTTAGATTTTGTGTCAATTGGGCGTTAATATTGGTGGGTATTTCAGTCAATTCGTTAATGTTGAGGACGGACAACAGAGGCATAACAATTGAACAAATTTGAGATCGAACGCCAGCGGCTCTGCGGCGGAATACAGAGATGGAGATTCTCGACCAAATCACTAATGGTGAATTACTGACGGTGACTAAACAAATTTGAGAAGTTGAGCAATTTGGAAGTGAACAAAATGATGGAGATTCTCGACCCTGATGTGCTAGGGACGGCGACGAAGCTCACCGGCAGCATCGAGGAAGTCTGGGACGAGGGGAAATTAGTGGGTTCTTCATCTCCAATCTGACACCAAATCTATTTACCAAAAAACAATTCGGAAACTCCCGAATTTCCAATCGGTGGTGAAAGATCTCGTAAAAAATTGGTAGTATGGAAGCTTCTCCTGTTGGCAACAATTCTTCAGCGGTGGCTTCTTCCCAGTTCGACAGTGACCTTCCGTCTACAACAACTCTGGAGATTCTCGACTTCGGCTGGAATTTACTTGTTTGGCTTTTACTCTCTAATTTTCTTGATTTGTGCTTAGCTTGCAATTTTAATTACCATTAAAGTTCTTTTGTTTATTTGATAGAAAGTAATTTGTGAATTGAGGTTGTGCTTAGCTCTGCGCGGATGCCACCGCCCACATAGTGGCGGCTGGCATTATATTCGTGTGTCGGAACATGTTATTGTGCAGACATTTCTCTCTAGATGAGCTCAAATCGGCAACGACTGATTTTGATGAGAGCTATGTTATTGGCAAAGGCGGTTTTGGAAAAGTCTATCGAGCTTCCATTAACGAATTATATTGCAGCACTGAAGATGGAGCAAACAGTTTCGTCGTAGTGAAACAATTGAACAAAGCGGAGTCGAGGCAAGGAGAAAACGAATTCTAGATGGAGATCAAGGAGAAAACGATTTCTGCAATGAAGAACAAGGGTTGTTACTGGTTTACGAGTTCATGGCCAGAGGAAGACTCGCGGACCATTTCTACATGGTTGACGATGATAATCGTCCCAGTCTCTGTTGGGAACAACGGCTGAGCATTTGCCTCGACGCCGCGTGCGGATTGCAATACCTTCACGCCGGAAGGGGATGTCAAGCACTCAAACATCCTACTAGACGAAGCTTTGAAGGGGAATGGACGGAAACACCCTCAATCTTAACGCCCAGTTAACCCTAAATCTAACAGAGGATCAAATTGGGGTAATTTTTTAAATTCAAGGGACCACATTGGGTGCAATTAAAAGTCAGAATGCAAAATTGAGAATGAGCCATAGTCAAGGGACCAAAATGGGTAAAAACTCTTTTTATCTATTATAGCCTAAAGATCAATCATTATTACATGGACCATGGTCCACACAATTGTGTGGACCATAGATAAAAAGTGCATTTTTAATATACTAAATAAGGTACATTTTTTGAAAGTACATTTTTAATATACTAAGACTACATTATTTTATATAATGTACCTTCAATACAAAAATAATGTATCTTCAGTACAAAAAAAATAGACTTTTAATATATTAAAAATGTACCTGATATTCATGGTCCACACAATTATGCAGACCATGGTCCACACAATAATTTGCCCCTTAAAAGTGATCAATACTTATTTAGTTATACATTGGGCTACAAATATTATACTCCTTACAATTGTTGGTGTAAATTATCCTATCATCAAACGTATAAACACATGATTTTTTTGGTTTCTAGAAATTATATTTATACCTTTCAATTTTGGGTGATAGTACGTGCTAAAGAAGTAAAGAACACATGACAATCTTACATGCATTTATGGCCATGTAACATCTTAACAAGTTAATTAGGTGAAGTTGGGACATCTTATTTGAACATGTTAGAGCATCTCCAACCCACACTACACCAAAACACCAAATAAAGAATTATGCCAATAAATTACCAAAATCATGAACTTAAGCCTAACAAATGTAGTTAAATCAATGCTAAAAATGTGCACAATTGAACTCACATCAACTCCCCCCACACTTGTGTATTTGCTTGTCCTCAAGCAAAACCAAGGAATAAATCACAAGTCAAAACATACAAATTACTCATACTCTCTCTTGCACAACCTTTCAAACCACCAACCAACTTGCTACAAACAATAAGGTTCAAGAATCAAATTAGTTTGGCACATAAGAGACCCATTTCCAAGCCAATAACCAAGCACCAAGAATTTAAAGTATGTGAGGATCAAGTGTGCACAAGTACTCAGTTGAGATTATGCAAGACATGGCTCATGAATGAGATCCCATAGGCTTGCCCTTCATACTCCCCTAGATCAAATCTAAGAATGCATGTTAAGATCAACTAGGACTTTATTTAGCTTGTAATGGGGCTAGGGCGATGGCTAACAAAGAAGTGGTATGAAAAAATTAATCAAAAATAGAGAATGTCACAATTTATCTAAACTTTTCAAAATTTGGAAGAGATGAAATAATCATAATTTCAAGGAGCAAATTTCTTTTAAGAACTTAGCAACTCTTTGGTAAAGTGGGGGTCCAAACTCAAAAACTTTCAATCTTTTTTTCTTTTTCATTCTTTTCTTTTTCTTTTTTTTTTCGATTCTTTAATATTTTTTTTCTCTTCTTTTCCTTGATTCCTTTCTTTGGATTTCTTTTGGATATAGAAAGATAATTTTAATCCAAACTTTCATGACCCCCACACTTGAACATTTGTAACATTAGCTGCTTTTTTGGCACAACTCAATAAAAACTCTTCTTACAGAAATAATAAAGATAAAAGTTCCATTCTTTCATTGGTGGAAGGGAAATATTTGGCCAAGGGCTAAGGGTTATAATAATGGGGTAAATCAAAGAAAAACAATCACAAAGAGGGGATAAGTGCTTAACACTTATTTAAACAAACAAAATGCACAATGGGGACACGAAAGATAAAAATATATATATGGGCAGGTTTAAAGGCTATGGCTAAACAAAAATGGCTTAAATCACTTCAAAACATGCAAAACTTAGACATCACTTACGGAGTAATGAGGCAAGTTCTAGCAAAACACCCATGACCGGAATCTCACATAAGCCTTCACTAGCAATGCATAACACACAAGATCAAGAATTAATCCAATTATTAAGTGGTTAACAAAGCTATTGGCAAGGGAATAGATCAATTATGAGTTACACCTCAAATCATCAATCACAAATTGAGATGCAGCAAGCACCACTAAAACAAACCATTAACCGACAAGAGAGAGTAATTGCAATTGCATGCTAAGACAAGTAACTTATTCACCAAAAATAGCATATGAGCTGAGTCATCCAAGAAAAAGCAAAAAAAATTTAAAATTTTAAAATTGTCCCCAAATTAATGACTCCCCCCCCCCCCCCCCCCCCCCCCCCCCCACACACACACACACATAAAAATTTGCATCGTCCTTGATGCAAAACAAAAGAGGGGAGAACGAAAGCAAAAATAAGGCGAACTAAAAAGCAATAAAACTAAAATAATACGAAACTAGAAAGCAATAAATATGAAAGCAATAAAAGATAACATGGGGTGCCTCCCATGAAGCGCTAAGTTTAGCGTCGTTAGCTCGACGTAGCCTGGTTATGGAGTGCTTAGCCCGGTTGATTTTCGAGGTTGTCTTCATCCCACTTCATTAGATGAACCATGTTGCATGAACTTTTCTCCTCGAAGGCATTGAATTCAACTTTTTCTTCTCCAAAATAAAAAATCATCGTTCCCTTTCTAGCATCAATTAATGCTCCGGTTGTAGCCAAGAAAGGTCTCCCCAAGATGAGTGGAATTTCTGGATTTTCTTGAGCATCTATTACAATAAAATCAACAGGGACAAAATATTTGTCCACACGAACAGGGACATCTTCAAGTATACCCACAACGGTTGAAGTAGACTGATCCGCCATGCACAATGTGAGGTTAATTGGTTTTGGCTTACCCAAATTCATCTTCATACAAAGTGAAAGAGGCATGACACTGGCTCCAAGATCACAAAGGGATCATTTTATAGGACGACCTCCAACAATACAAGGAATTGTGAACTTCCCCGGATCTTTATATTTAGCCACTCTTCTTCCAACTCCGGGTGTTAAGGCCCTATACTTTTGTGCCATTGCAATCATCTCATGTTCCGCATATTTTCTCTTTTTAGCAAATATTTCTTTCAAAAATTTTCCATAGGAGGAGACTTGGGAGAGCAAATCAAGTAAAGGGACAGAAACTTTCAAATTTTCAACTATTTCTAAAAATTTCATCCATCTACTTTTATTTGTTTCGTGCAAAGGAAAGGGCAAGGGATTTTCATACCTTTGTACGGTCTTCTTTCCTTTATCAATGACTTGTGGGTTATTTTTCTCAACAATTGGCTCATCCTCATCTCTGTCAAGTATCCTTTCTATTTCCTCTTCAACAATTTTAGTTGGAATTGATGCTTTGATAGGAGGAGATGGTTCTTCAAGAACCTTGCCACTCCTAGTGATAATAGCATTGACATGTTCCCTGGGATTCTCAGTACTAGCTGGCAACTTCCCTGTGACTATGGTGCTAGATGTAGAAGCTTGATTGACAAGTTGCTTTTCTAGCATCTTGCTATGAGCACTCAATTGATCCACCATTTCCGTTAATTGTCTATACTGTAAAACTATAACAATAGGCATGGAATGATTTAACCAATACTTTAATCGGAAGCGTTAAAGTACTAACCTGATTCCATGAGAGAATGATGAAGCTTTCAACCCTTTCTTCTTCACAACTTCTTTATGCAAGTTTGTAGAGTGTTTTTCAGAATACTTTTCCCTCTGGTCTTTCACGTTAGTTTTCACAGTGATAGGATAGGAAAATGCTTATGCCCTTTTATATTGTCTTCTTTACATAACTTACATTCCAATATTGATTATTGGAATTATGGCAATAATGGCCATAAACCAATATTAAGTAGGCTTAAGTAGCCCTATTGAAAGCCAAAGAGAGGGGAGTAATAACCCCTTGATCCGTTACATATTTTATTCCCATTACCTATCACAACGGGATTTTAATTGTCCAGACCACTTTAATACATGGACCACAATAACATTAGAATAAAATATTCTAACATTCTCCCACTTGGTCCATGTGTATCATTGATGCATTAAGATAAATTTAATTCGCGAAATATCCCAAAACATCAATGAACCTTTACTCAAATTAAAGCTAGTTAGATCATGGCGGTCGCACGTTATTTGAACAACATGTTCCCTTCCATGCATCATAGGTCAACTTTAATTTCGATACTGATAACCATAGGTGCAAACAGAGATATAACATTAATTGAATTCAACCAAGTCAATATAGCATAAAACTGAAAACCAAAATTACAATGATAACAAGGCTCTATGCAAAATTCCCATACTCTCCACATAATAGGAGAAGACTTTCGGTGCTAAACCTTTGGTCAAAGGATCAGCAACCACAAGTTCAGTTTTGATATGCCAAATTAACACTCTCTGTTTCTGTACTTCTTCTTTAACTGACAAGTATTTCAATTCCATATGCTTAGCACCCTTAGAGTACTTGTCATTCTTAGAGAAGAACACTGCTGCGGAGTTGTCACAATAAATTCTCAAAGGTCTAGAAATACTGTCAACTACTTTAAGCCCCGAGATCAAATTCCGTAGCCATAGTCCATGATTTGTGGCTTCAAAGCATGCCACAAATTCTGCCTCCATAGTGGAAGTAGCGATGACTGACTGCTTTGCACTTTTCCAAGAAACTACTCCTCCAGCTAATAGGAGCAAATAACCAAATGTAGATTTTCTCGTATCTACACACCCAGCATAGTCTGAATCAGAATAGCCAATCACTTCAAGTGGATCTGACTTCCTATACGTAAGCATGTAATCTTTTGTGCCTTGTAGATATCTTA